GCACCAGTTGCTTTTGTTCTTTTGGATGTGGGCCAGTCTCTGTGGTGTGAGATGATATCTCATTGTTGTTTTGATCTGCATCTCCCTTATGATTAATGATGTAGAGGATTTTCTCATGTGCCTTTTTGCCATTCGGATTTCTTCTGAATAGAGGGTATGAGCAGCCAAGGTCTAATGCCGCTAAGTCCTGGATGACGTGCTAGTTCATTCATTCATTCATGTACTTTGCATGAGACTAAGAAAGAAAACCTAAATAAAATGAGTGAAGCCTTTGAAAACCAGCTGAGTGGTCCAGAGGCCTCCTATTGCTTGTAACTGCACTGTTTTTTAAGAAGCTAATAAAATTTCACCCAATGAGTTTGATATTGTCGGACAATTCATCCAAAGTTTTAGGTCAATCTTTTTCTAATAGCTTTCCTTCCGCTTGCAAAGGACTTGCTCACTGAGGCAGTGAAGGTCCTGTTCATTAAAGAACTTTCTGCTGAGTCTCCACACACTGACCTGCTTCCTTGTCCAAACTGTGGAGTCATCATCAAAGGGCGTCACAATTTAGCATCACTTAAGCAGCTGCATCTTTTCACCCTTCTCATCTTGAATGCCTTGACTGCAGCAGATAACGTGTAAAACTTCCTTTTGAACCTTTGTTGACCCCATTGATCTCCATCACACGCAAATATTACAGTGTAGATTAAATCATGGAAGAACTTCACCTATGGACCAAAGTGGAAAGACAGATTCAAAGGAATTTTTATTGTTTGTACTCCCTGAGATCAGAATGTCTTTGTCTTTGATTGTACATTTGAATACAATAGCTTGACTCGTCAAGCTCTTTAAAATTCTTTCACAAAGAAAACTCAGATACTTGGTGCTATGGGTATTCTAAAAAGCAACAGAATATGTGTGATTACCTTTCATTATCAACTTATTAGCACTAGATTGGAATATATATATATATATTGCATGTATACATATGCATTGGTAGCAATATGAGGATGTGTGTTTATTGGTCATGATATATGTTCATATTATTATGCTTTAAAGAACTTATTGATTATCTAATTTGCAAGCTTATAAAATTGAAGCATGGACTTTCATGTAGCATAGATTTTTGTTTTGTTTTGTTTTGTTTTGTTTTGTTTAGGGCCATACCTAGCGGTGCCCAGAATTTGCTCCTGGCTCCATTTTGAATAATCACGCCTAGTGAGGTGCAGAGGAGTTCTGGGGAATCAAATCCAGGTTGGCTGCTTGCAAGGCAAGCTCCTTACCAAGCATACTATCTCTGGGTACTAAAGAGAATATGTTTTACATTCAAAGATACAAAGGGACAAAGAAAGTATTGAACCTATTGTCAAACTCACACTTGCCCATTTTTTTCTATAAAGGGCCCAGATAGCAGTTTAGACTTTGCAGGCTCTCAGATCTCTGTGTTAGCTTCCTGGAACCACCATAACAAATAACCACAACTTGATTACTTAAAACAACAGACGTGACTGAGGCTGAGGCTCGGTGGGAGATGTATGCCTTCAGTGTGAAAACTTCGTTTTGATAACTGACACTACAAAAACACAGAAACAAAATAGAAATTTAATTTTTCATTTACGAGTACAAGAAGTTTAAAAATGAAGGTATGGGCCCTGCTCCTTCTGAGGTTGTAGAGAAGTATCTCTTCCCTACATGAATGAAGTCTTTCTTCATTTGGTGGTCATTCAAGTATTGGTCATGCCATGGCTCATTGCTCCATCTCTTACATGACCTTCTCTCTAGTGTGTACAAGTATCTCTATTCAAATATCCTATTCTGTGTCTTCTAAAGATGCTAGTCAGGGAACCCATGATAATCAAATATCATTGTATCATTTGATTACATCTACAAAGATGTAAGATGATCTACAAAGAGAAGTCACTTTCCTGGGTACTGGGAGTTAAGATTTCAACACATCCTTTTGTAAAACATAATTCCATCCCCTATGATCTCTATTGATACATTGGTTGATGAGATCAGTCCAAAGCAATATGTAAATAAAGGGCTGTGCTGTCTTCCAGTCAAACTTTATTTACAGAAACAGAAGATGGGACCTGGTTGAACTAATGGAAGCTAAATTATGGCAGGGGAAGATACAGTGCTCCTTTGCTTCAAGCAGTCCATTTTCAAAGTACAAAAATGCATACATATGTGTATATATAGCAAGGCTTATTTTAAAATAAATGTCACCTTCAGGCAAGAAATGGAACTTTGATAATTATTCCAAATCCCAAAGCTCGTTTTCTAAAAATGTTTGAATTATAATACCTGTTCAATTAAAAGCGTTTGGATGATCATTTAGATATGAAACTCTATATGGCCTTTCCTACAAAGCAATCAATACTGATTGAGAAATAAGATTCCACTGAATTCAGACATATTAACTAATCCACTAAATATAAACTCATAAGGGAAGGTACATTGTTATTCATCACTCTCTTCAACCATTGAAGATAATTCACTACATGGTAATCATTTAATAAATGGTTATCTCAAACAATTTTAGTTTTTTGGAATCAAAATAGTTAATTGGTTTGTTTTTGTTTTAATCATCTTTAATCATCTTTTATCATAGACTCATCACTATTCCTAGAAATAAATTATTATCTTAAACAAAGAGGACAGCTACAATAAGAAAAATTAATATAATAAGCATTAAAAGTATTGAAAGAATTATAAAGAGAAAACTAGAGGAATTAATAAAATTGGGTCAGTGAAAAATACTACTTTTTGTATATGTGAAGCAAGATAGTATTTCTTGAAACTTACTTTTAGAGATTTGAGGAGAGAGAAAGAAGTGTGTATTCAGGAGAAAACACAGGCTTCCCAAAGTGGAAATAAGCAAGTAAAGTACCAGAGACAAGCAAGTAAGATGTGTTCAAGGAAGAATACGGGCTTGAAGAGCACGAATTTCTTTAAAATCAGGGGGAAAAAGAAAAAAGTTGAAAGCCAAGAAGGCACATCATATGGAAAGGTAAAATATTAGTAACTACAGCTGGTTGTTGAATAATATTGTCTCATTCAATATTATTTTAATCAACATTTATTTTAATGTTGATTTGAAAATTGTAAAAAAAAAAAAGGAATCTTAACCAAAGCTCTTGAATGAAGCTATGTTATTCATGGGGTGGATTTTGTGATACATCTCTTCATTTAAAGTGACATTTTCCAAAACCTATGTTCGTTAAGGACTTGATGTACATTTTTGTTTGTGTTTTTGGCCACACCTGATGGTGCTCAGGGCTTACTCCTGACTCTGTATCAGAGATCAGAGATCATTCCTGGCAGAGCTCAGGAGACCATGTGGAGTGCCAAGGATTAAAACCTGGTTGGCCACATTTAAGGCAAATGCCTTCCCTATACTATTGGTTTGGTCCCAAGGATCTTCATGACCCAACTCAGTTGCAGAAATGTGGGACCCCCATCCAATGGCGAGGTAACCAACTATCCATTGTCTATCCACTGTGTGACAGGGAGGAGTGAACAAGGAGGTAACTGTCCAGCTCTTTCCACACTGATGCTCTGAAGTTTTGTCACTCCTTCCCTCTCTTCTTCTAGTGGATTTGGAGACAGTCAACATTAAGCCAAAAATCACATTAAGCCAAAAGTCAAGATGTGCTGGCACTTGGGTGGAAGCTGAGGCAAGATGGAGCATGAGATCAGCTGTGAGACTCAGTGAGAAGCTCGCTGATGATTTATAAGGTTCTGAGGCAGCTGGGGAGGAAGGGCGAAGCCCAGGAGACTGCAAGCGTGCTCTTTGGGAAGAGGGTCTGTGAAGAGAAACCACAGCTCTAAGGATGGGGCACTGAAGAGAAGATCCAGGGCCCCTGGAATCATTGGTTCAGTTGATGGTGGAAATACTGAAATGAGAAGTGAATATTGCAGAGAAAATTGGAAAGAGGCAAATATAGAGGGACAAAGACCAGCCCTCCCGGAGGCTTCAGGTGAAATGAGAATGCATTCAGAACAGAGGGATGGACACTGACAATGGGGAAGGACCCTTCCATATCGGACTCCTGGAGGCCCTGGGTCTCATGCCATGGAGATGTTCCTGCCACCCACCCCGGTCCATCTAGAGGATTCAGGGGAAACAGTTGCTCAATGAAGAGACAAAACTTTTATCCCTTCTCGCTTGTGGTTGCTGCTGCCTCAGTCCCATTGTCTTCAGTGCAGGATGGCCCTGATTAAATCTGTTTTCTAGAGAAGAAAAACATATGTTGAGCAGCATGGGGAAAGGGCCACGGGGGGGGGGGGGGGGGGGAGCCCAGCTTTCCATATTTTCCCACAGTTCCAAACATCCAAGTTCTAAAACGTTGGAAAGAGTGCCCTTTGGCAGAAAACTCTCTGCAAAAATAAGAGCAAATGCATTTTCATTCTAAGTTAGCTCAGTTTGCTCTGATGCCTAACAAAAGAGATCAAAAGAGAAATAAAAATAGTATATTTTGGTCAGAAAGAAAAAAGGAATTTATTTGTGAATGGAGCCAGAGCAATAGTACGGCAGGGAGAGCACTTGCCTGTGTGCAGCTCACCTGGATTTCATCCCCGACACCACACACGGTCCCCCAAGCCCCACTGGGAGTGATAGCAAAACACAATGCCAGGGGTAGCCCTGAGTACCACCAGGTGTGACCCCCCCAAACCAAAAAATAAATAAATGCTGTAAAAGAGAACATATATTCTTTGGCAAATAGGTGAGACCTATTTGCATGACTTCTGTGTGACCTTTGATCCTTTAAATAGTGGTGGATGTGAGAAGTCAGAGATGCTAAAATGGGTACCCAGTAGCTTCTGCTGCGGATAAAGAAGGGTGTCTGACAACTATCCTCCAAATGTTCCTTGCTAGGGGTTCCTCTCCTAGGTGGAAGAGAACTTCTCTCATCCTGCCCCACTAACCCCTTCTCAGCCTGAGCAGGACACAGCAAACCTCATGTTGCAATGACTGTTCCGTTGACATCCTGTCCACCTTTTTCTCTTTCCAGAGAGCCCACAGAGAATTACTCCCTGAGCCGCCCGTGTGCCCAGCAGGTCTGATGTTTGCACGGAAGGAATGGATGTCAAAGAGCGCCGGCCTTATTGCTCCCTGACCAAGAGCAGACGAGAGAAAGAGCGGCGGTACACCAATTCCTCTGCAGACAATGAGGAGTGTCGAGTGCCTACGCAGAAGTCTTACAGCTCCAGCGAGACCCTGAAAGCGTTTGATCATGATTCATCGAGGCTGCTCTATGGAAACCGAGTAAAGGATTTGGTCCACAGAGAAGCTGATGAATACTCCAGACAAGGTAGGTGAACTTTCTCAGAAAGCGGCACCAACGGGCTTACTTTGAGGAGCCCCTTCAGCTATGATCGGTGTGGTTATTATATTATTTGTATTATTATTGTTGAGTGGTGGGAAGGTCCCTGTCCTCTGGTTTAGATTTTGAGTGAGAATTAAGAATCTCTCATTTCCCAAAATTAGAGGTAGAAAGCCACTTTTTCATAGGAAAGGGTTATGGTTCCTGCAGAGGACCCAAATGTTTGTGAAAACACTTGAAATCCAGGTCTCTGGGACTCCACGGAGTCTCGTGAAGTCTCATGGAAAGAGCCAAGGGAGGGGGTCCAGGGAGATCAGGGCGTGTTCGTGAGGAAGTTCCTGCTTAAGGAAGTCAAATGCCTCTTGAGAGTTTCTCTCCTCCTTCTCCAGCCGGATACCCCCCACCCCCACCCCGGCCCCCCATCTGTCTTTCCGCACAAAAGTCTGTTACGGAAGGTTCCGGTTCCTTTCACACGTGTAATCTGGGGCTTTAGCATGGCCCCTCCAACACCCTGTTTCCAGTAATAGAATCCATCTGCTTGGGTCCGTCCCATAGACGTGCCGACCAGTCTCCACACTCTGCTTTCTGCCTGACTCTCCTATCAGCAGTCTAAGTGACTTCTGTCTCTTTATTTCACAGCCCTACGCCGGCCGTTTCCTTGCTTTAAGACAGTCGTGCCTTTCACATTGGGCATCCATTGTGCTATTTTCTTTCTTTGCTAGTGGCCTTCCAACCTGGGCATGCCGACAACTCATAAAACTTTGTAACTCTGTCACTTGCATTTCACTGTGCGCCCAGCTCTGCCTAGCCTTAGCCAACTTCACGACGGTGTGCAGAGAAATGAGCTTCCCAAACAGAGAACCTCTCTGCCTTTCTCCACTGCCTTCCAGTTCGACTGCAAGTTTGTGATGAAGCAGGAACCGATTCTAGCAAAAGTCTTCAGGTGGGAAACCATTTCAGCATTTTTCCTAGTTCCTTTCTTCTCGCATCATGGAGCAAGATCTCCTCAGTAGACTGAAGTCATATTGGCTTGCCCCACCCAGTGTATGTCAAAGAACACTTTTCCTATTTGCTTAAGAGAGATTCCCCACCCCCACCCCCAAACCGGACCTCATCAATTACAAGTATTAAATTTTATTGAAGGGCACCCAATTGCTCAATCTTTACCATAGTGTTTTTCTTTTTTCAGGGAAGATAGGAAACATTTGTTGTAAACACTCTTGATGACTCAAGGGGCTTCAACTTCATCACCCAGAGTGTTAACCCTTCACACTCTGATTTTTTCTTTCACAATATCCAGACGTCTAATGTACTCAAAGTATGCTTTTCCACCTCTTTCAAAATGGGAACCCAGTGGCATGCATGCCGTTAGAACTGGTAGGAAGCCTTGGTGTGGGTAACAAAAATAACTGTCCTATGACTTACAGGGGGGCAGAATATACATTGTGGGTTATATTAGGAGAAAGCCAAAGCAGCACATGTGGTCTTCCACACTAGGGGACCCCATGCACCCCAGAGCTAGCATTGCATTTTGGCAGAATGCAGCCCAAGCCCGCTTAAACAGGTTAAAAATAGCAGGCTGAGATTTTTCACCTCCTGGGCAGCCTTAATCCACTGCAGACTGTTGCTGACAAAAGGGTGAGAACATCTGTGGAAGCCCCACCACCCGAGTTCTTAGGGGACCAAGAATTGGTTCTTAGTCCTGGGTCCTGGGACCTCCAGAATGCAGAGCAGTCATAGGAGAGGAGAAGAATTGCCCCCGCAGACAGAGGGACCCACTGAAGGGGAGGAGGGGGTATCAGGAAGAGCTTGAAGAGCAGAAGTGAAAGAAAAAGCCAAACTGCAGTGGGGTCTCCCCTCCCCCGCATAAATCTGCATAAATCAGGGGTAATTTTCTTTTTTGCACACATAGTTTGGGGGAGAGATCGGGTTAGAGCTAAGAGAGTGACTTGGACCCTTTTGAGCCCCCCTCACCTGTCAGGCTGCTGCCCCTGTGAGATGCCGGAAACCTCAGACAGGCATGGACGGAGGTGGTTGGGGCTGGGAAGATGGTTGGGGAGGTGGTTGGGCTGGGAAGATGGAGATGCTGCAGGCCCCCTTATTTCCCGTGACTCCCTCTGTCCATGAGCAGGGGGATGAGTCTGTTACCAGACCGTGCTTGTTCCTGAGCCCAAAAACTGAAAGAGGGCTTCAGTTCTTTTATTGTCTTTGAGCCCGGCCAGTGTCCTCCATCCTCCTTCTTCCCTGATGACGATGTCATGGGATTAATTATTTAATTGACAAAATGTGCTTCCTGCCATGCCCCTCACATCACCCCCCTCATCAGAATGAAAGATGGGAAAGAGAAAGAGTAGCCAAAAGAGCTTTGAAATGTTTCCCGAAAACGCACGCTGGTTTCACTGGTGTGGGGCATCTTTCAAAAAACGTTTGTTGACTCTCCTCTGCCCATCTTGTCTGCCTGCAGGTGACAGAGGTAGGTCCTTTGCTGGCACTTGCTCCAGAATTCAGGCCTAGAAATCAAATGCTTTCATTTTAGGGACCAATTTGGTGACCCAGTATTGATTGATTGATAATTGATCTTGATCGTGGTGTGTATAGGGGAGTTGGGGAGGCAGGTATAGCTTCCTAAACTGGCAGGAGCCAGTGTTTGTTTTAGGGCCACACCCAGCAGTGCCCAGGGCTTACTCCTGGCTCTGCACTCAGGAATCACTCCTGGCAGTACTCAGGGGGCCATGTGGGATGCCGGGGATTGAACCTGCAAAGGCAAACACCCTAACCACTGTACTATCACTCTGGCCCCCAATTTATATGTGACTTAAAAAAAATTATAGGGATCATATCTGGTTGTGCTTGGTGGACCCTAGGGTCACAACCTCTTCCATCTATGGTATCGGGGCACATAAGCTGGGGATCAAACTGAGGGCTCCACACATGCTCATCCCCTTGAGCCGACTCTCTAGCCCTTTCTGTTTCTGCTCAAGTCGAAGTGGGGCTGGTTCTTCTTCTCTTAGCCTTTCCAATCCCCCCCTCTCTCGTTCTTCATGTGTTTTTATTGGGTGCTGGAAATAGCTGGTCTTCTCAGCAGCTGCGGAGGTCCCAGTCGGTGTGATGGGGTTAGGGTCACTTGAACTTGTTTTGCATTCTTGGAGTCGAGTTTTCTTTGATTTGTCTTTGAAGAGAATCTAGCCCGTCACGGCTGAGACACGTGTCTTAGGCGACAGCTGCAGAAGATCACCCCCACAGTTTTAGAGCAGTGATAAAAGAAAAGGCATTGATTCCTCTGCCCTCCTCAGAGTGCCTTGTCTGTCCTGGTTTGGGCCACACAGGGAAGTTCATCAACTCCAAGAGGCAGGTGGGCTCAGCGAGGGGAGCTAGGGTTTGGGGGGAGGGGAAGGCAAGGGGGTGCTGGTAGTGTGAACCCTGCTGGTTCCCAGAACCGCAACCCTGGAAAGATGCTTCTTGACCTGGTCCTCATGGCCGGTATTCGGAAGGCAGGTGGAAGCGAGAATGGGAGGTGGGCTTTTTAGAGTTTTTAAATGAAACACAGAAAGTCCCGTTTATTTTTCATGTACCGAAGAACCAGGCATGGGGAGGGCTGCCTGCTTTTAAATTTGATAAGCAGAGGGATGTTTTCTGCGCCTCCACCTGAGAGTACCTCCACCTGTGGACCAGAGAGAGAGAGGATGGTAGGGGCAAGGTGCTTGCCTTGTGGCAACCGACCCCAGGAGGGATCCCTGAGCACAGAGTCATATGGAAGCCCTATGTACATTCAGGGTTGACTCCCAAACAACAATAACCACAAATATATCTACCTGAAATCTAGCCAAAAAATAAATCGGCAGAGATAAGAAAGGAAGGCAGGTGTAGGGGCAAATACAGACATTTGCTGGCTTCTGAGTGGGACCATTTGGTCTTGTCTGAGGAGTTTCCTGCTGGTGCTTAGCTTGGCGATATTTGCCTTGTCTTCTGCACGAGACCTGTGATACTTCCCTGTATGATAACACTGTCTTGTCCTCCCCCAGGTAGCTTAGGTTTATCGTGTCACATCCATCCCAGTGCTCCCGAGTCACTCCCATTCCTCTGTTTATCTGTAAACTCTTCTTTGTGCTCTCCTCCCCAGCCAGTTTATCACCCTTTCTCCCTAATCAGATTCTGTTAGCTTGTAAGATCAGATCCTTCTAAAGACACTGAACTTGTAAGTTATGTCTTTTGCATAGTTTACCTTAAAGCAATGTCTTTTCTGTATGGACATAGGAAGACAGTTAATATTAATCTTTGTAACTTGGGAGTTGATTGGCTCCGAATAATATTTACTCCTGGGCATCTGCTTTCTTGACTTACTTGCCCTTAGTTCCTAGCACCCCAAAAGCAGGGTCCCAACGAGGGACTGAATGGACCCAGGGCAAGCTGTGAGCTACCCTGGCATCGAAATGGACCAGGCCAAAGCACCACGATTCTCAACTATAAGTTGAGAGCATGATCATGGACAAATGCTGTCATGATCCAAAAGTAAGTAACCATGTGACTAGGACCCTGGGGCTAGGAAGACTAACCTGGCCTGAGGACTGCGTGGAAGTATAGTGAGATGTTCTCAGGAAGAACCAAACTGTAAATTTGTATCTCTTACTATGCTCATACAGAATGACATTGCTAGAAATATTAGAAGTAGATTTACGACAACTATTTAAGTAGATTACTAGCTGAGGAAAGAACACACCCTCGTTGGATCCCACCCTTGAGCAGATCTCCTAGTAATCTGGAGTAATCTCTTTAGATGAGATTTTATCTTTGAGTTAATCTCCTGGAGGAGTGGTCTTACCTCTCTTTGTTGATTTGTTCTTATGTTCAACCCACCTTTGTGTCACCTCCCTACGTGATTGCTATATAAACTAAGAATGTAAACTCGAGGGAGCAGAGTCAGAAGTAAGAGAGCTCAGGCTCTGGAGATCCAGAGTCAGAGTGAGAGGGGCTCAGGGGAGTGAAGATTG